TAAGCTTGAGACCTATTTCTATTAAAAAAGAGAGAAAAAAAGAAATGTTAGATATTTTGAAAGTGAAAACCAAAAAACTTTTGAAGGATTGTTAAGAAACTGACAGGAGCTGCTGCCTAAAGAGGGGAACTATCTGCCCAAGGAATAAGAATGAATGGGAAACTGATTTTTCACTACATCCTTCTGTACTTTTTAAAGTTTTATATTTCAACTAAAAGTTGTTGTGAACAGACTAAAATTGATACTACTGGTAAGTACAAAAAAAAAAAAGGAAACATAAAATGGGAAAAACAAGACATAAAAAGAAGCAATAAAATTGTAAGAGAATATGTGTGTTAATAAATTTGGACAAAACTAAATAGATATTTTTAATTAAAAATGTAAAATTCTAACACTGGCAAAAATAAAATACCTACTAGACCAACATCTTTAAAAAAATCAAATAACTTTCCAAGCTCATTCTTATTGCTGTAATCTGAGTTCTTGGGAAAAAAAAAAAGAAAGAAAAGAAAAATAACTACACCCCTAAAAAGTAGTTAGTGAATTCTTTCATAGTCTCCAGAAGAAAACAATTCATGTTAGAGAAATCATGCCAAAAACAGGTCAATATATAAGTTATCTAATTATTCTACTAATCTGACCCTAAAACTGGCTAAATGAAACGGAAAGAGAGAAAACTATAAACAAAGCTTGCTCTGAATTTATGCTCAAAAATTTAAAAAAATAGTAAATAGAATCTAGGAATAGATTTAAATTTTTACTTATGTCAATTGAAATTTTAAAAATTCATTTGTTAAAATGTAACACCTATTTTTAATTTTAAAATTCTAAAACTAATAATAAAGACATATTTTCTTACTCTGATTGAGTACCTACTTATTGACCCAAATGTCAATTATACTTCAAGGGAAAAAACAAGCTACGCAGTCATTAAAAATAAGCACAAAATAAGCAGTTTATCATCACTGTTAATACAGTATCCGAAGTTCCAACAAAATGCAACATAAAAATGAATGAGACACAAATACAACAAAGGCAGATGCTATATATACTTTTTTAACATAACACCATTATAAACTTATAAAACACAAAGGAACCATTTAAATTGTTATGATAAATTTAAAGTGACCACGATCATCATTAATATAGAAAAACTGATAGTATTCCTGGTCCTCAAGCTTGAGTGCACATAAAATTCATTGGGCAGCTTTTTAAATGTTGATGCCCACACCTCCCCCAAAACAAACTGTCTCAGAGTCTCTGCGGGTGAGACCAGGGATTAGTATTTTATAAAGCTTCTAAGGTGATTTTAATGTGCAGCCAAGTAGAGACACCCACTACTATATATTTAACTATCTAAATATTTTTAAAAATGCAAAGTAAAAATGTATTACTATAACCATTCATAATATTCACAAATGGGAGGCAAAAGACTGCCATAAGGAACAAATTGTTCAAAAGAAGAAACCTGAGAGGAGACACAGTTAGCTCCCGTGCAAATGTCTCTAGTCCACTGCAGTTTAGGCAAAGAGGTAGGGGGTTAATACAAGAACCAGTGGAGGGGGACAAGACATGGCCACAACAGAGCGATGGCAGCAATAGATATTTATTCTCTGTCCGAGTGTTAATGAGGTACAAGGCATGCATGAGGATTTCATAGAGGCTGAGGTACTCTAGGACTACCTGCATACCTGTATGAGGTCATATGTAAGATAAATTTCTAGAAATGCTATATTAATTGTTGAATCAGATGGTATGTGCCATTAAAAGTGAAAGATTAATTTTAAAAGACCTTAAAGGGGGAAGAGAAAAAACATGATGTGCAGAATAAACATCATACTTCATAGGTAGAAGCAGACTGGCAGAAATGAGGTAAGTTAGAGTTAGACAAGCTGGCTCGGTGTCACCAGGTAGTAGCTACAGAGACTGACATATAAAAACTCTCGGTGACTCCAGTTTGGCTTTGACTTTCCCATTAACCTTCCCCCACTACTACCTCTAGTCATATGCAATGTCCCCATCCTACCAGTTCTCTAACACAACAGGCATTGCTAGGGTCCACCTGTTCCCTCTACCCGGACCATGGTATTCTTCTTTCAGGTCACCACTCAGCTGAACCACTCTCTTTTTGTTAACCTCCCAATCTTTTACCATCCGTATGTCATCCATTACAGTATAACTGCCAATTGGGTCATATGGATGGTAAAAGATTGGGAGGTTAAATTGTTATGATAAATTTAAAGTAATCACAGTCATCATTAACATAGAAAAACTGATAGTATACCTGGTCCTCAAGCTCGAGTGCCCAAGAAATTCACCGGGCAGCTTTTAAAATGTTGATGCCCACACCTTCCCCAAAACAAGTTGTCGCAGAGTCTGTGAAGGTAAGATCATTTCCTATTAAATGATCGAAGAAATCACCTAAGGTGTGGATTCACTTTAAATTTATCGTAACAATTGATGGTAAAAGATTGGGAGGTTAACAAAAAGGTGGTTCAACTGAGACATTTCTGTTTAATATTTTATGTCTGGTTTTTTAGTGTAAATATCTGATCTGCTATTTATATTCCTAAAGTGGCTCTAAATTACCTTCTAGATCAAAGAACTATCTTTGACAATGATTTTTAAGCCCTGCTATTTATCAGGCTTTTAATATACAGTCTAAGATACTTCCTCTACAACATTTTCCCTGTTAATCATTTTCAATCCAATCACATGATCTCCAAATCTCCTTAATCCTCCTAACATAAGCAAGCTTCATTCATTCACCCAACAAATACTTACTGAGCATCTATTGTCCAGCACTGGTTTAGATCCTGGGGATAAAGGTCTTGCCCTCAATGAGGAGTTCAGGCAGGGAAGGTACTGGGTATGAAGGGATGGCAGAGACACTGCCACTCAAATGTATCTACAGTGGCTGGATGGTGATAAATGCTATAGAAAAAAACAGAGAAGGATAGAGTGATTCCAGGGTATGGTAAGGTATCATTTTCAATTGAGGATACCATAGAAGGCATCTTTGATAGGGCAACTTTGGAGCAGAAACCTGAAGAAGGAGGGGAGTAGCCAGTAGCCATATGACTATCTGGGAGAAGATGATTCCAGGCAGAGGGAACAAGAACAATGGCTCCAAAACAGTAATGTTTGTGGGCTGACTGAAGCACAGCCAAGAGACCAATGTGATAAAGCCAAGAGACCAGTATAAGAGTGAGCACTAGAAGATGTGTACATGAAAAATGTGTCTTATGACATTTTTAGTTTAGAGGATTGATATATAAAGCCACTAAACAGTTTTACTCATCTTTAAGACTCAAAGTTAAATAATGATCAAGGTGGAATATACCATACAGCCAATATTAGGCCTGCAGCAATCCATTACTGAAGCATAGGGAAAACGCCCACCACAAGACATAAAATTCCAGAAGTTACACTTGTGAGAAAATTCCCATGGGCTAGTGGTTGCCAGGCTTGTGGAGAAGGAGAGAGATGTTGCCATAGAGTTGTATAAGGAAGTTGTACAGAACTTCTAGCATCACATATCATCAATGACTTTGCCTCTATTTCTTTCTCTCTTTCTAAAAATTTCTATTCGGCTTACTGATGAAAGTTTCTTTTTTTTTTTTTTTTTTTAAGACAGAGCCTCACTTTGTTGCCCCGGCTGGAGTGCAATGGCACGATCTCGGTTCAATGCAACCTCCGGCCTCCTGGGTTCAAGCAATTCTCCTGCCTCAGCCTCCTGAGTAGCTGGGACTACAGGAGCCGGCCACCACGCCTGGCTAATTTTTTTTTTTTTTTTTGTATTTTTACAAGAGATGGGGTTTTACCATGTTGGCCAGGATGATCTCCATCTCTTGACCTTGTGATCCACCAGGCTCGGCCTCCCAAAGTGCTGGGATTACAGGCACGAGCCACTGTGCCCAGCCAAGAAAGTTTTTTAAATAATGGAAAATAATGTAAAAGATGTGGTTTATTTAAAAAGCTTACTAAAGCATATCTATTTTATCAACTGTAGGCTATGTCTATATTTATGATGATTGTTTGCTAGTCTGCTTTGTCTTCCGTATTTCGCATTAAAAAGAGTTTTCACGATTTAAATTGTAATATGTTTTGTAACTACTTTTTAATGTAACAGTATGCTGTGAATATATGCCTATCATTAAATACACTAGTTATTTTTTTCAAAGATTTCCTATTCCACAGATCCCAGAGATGTGTTGTAGTGCCACATATATTGTAATCTGAGAATACAGCTTGAATAATTGATTGTATACAAACTAGTTTTCTAGTTTTTTCAAGTCAATCAAGTGTAAGTTCTGCACTCAGACTAAAAGCTGACACTTTGACTCACCCTACACATCACAGAGACACAACACAGGATACTCTTATGATCTCAATGGTCAACCTATATAACACATTCCTATTAAATGATTGAAGAATCATCTAAGTTGTAGACTCAATGCAGATTTTTAGATTAATCCAAAAAAGAATCATTTGATCAAAGAGTTCAGCAATACAAAACAAGGGAAGAGAAAATAAATAATGTTTAATAGCAATGCAAAGACTAAATATGACTATAAACACTTATGCATTACAAAGGTGTGGTAACTACTATAGCAAGAAACTTGTGAAAGCTCAGAAGCATGCTGTTTACCCGGAAAACATACTTTTTCCTTACTTCATTGTTTTCTCCAGTTTCCCTCTTCACTTTATGCAGTCCCACAAGCATCTTTAAAGGGTCGCATGTTGCTTTTGGAGTTGCATTTCAGTCCTATGAAAGAAGCAGCACATCATCACTTCATGAGAAAACATTTTAGGATGCTGAGTTATCCAATCTCATCAGTCTCCTTTCCTAATTCATTTTCACCAGAACTACACATACACAGAAAAACCAGTGAGACAAGAAGGGTAAAAAGAGGTTATTGAAATACAAACCAGAAATTTGAAACTATTAAAATTCCTAGTAGAAACTAGAACATAGAAATAAAGCAAACTCAATGGTCTCTGATAACAGATCAGAACAAAATCTGTAATTTTCATGCTCTTTCAGCCAAAGAGTTTCCATTTCTCTCTCTCAGCTAAGTTTGAGATAGCTTGGCAGAAATAATATTAACAGCTGTGTGGCTTTATAACTTCAAGGATGTCCTAGTTTCTGACATTCTTCCATTCAGGTTTTCCTGGTATGGATTCTAGAGGTACAAAAGTGGCCCAGACTGTAAGTTCCAGGCCAAGGAACTGTTTTCATCTCTGTCTCTGACCATTACCCCTATTTCATCATGGACACTTGCAGTGAATGAATGAGACAGTAACTATGTTTTTTTTTTTTTTTT